GAGAAGAATGATGAGGAGCAAGAGGAGGAAGAGGAGGAAGGGGAGGAGGATGAGGAGGAGGAGGAGAAGGAGGAGGAGCAGGATGGGGAGTGGCAGGTCGAGCAGGAGGCTAAAGTGCTCGGTGATGCCCTACAGCCTTGGCCAGACCAGAGCGCAGCAGCGGCGGGAGGCAGGCGCACCAGCACGGGCAGCAGCCGTGGCGGCCGACGACGGCGGACCTCGCCCGCCTCCCAGGGCACAGCGCGGCACGGCAGCCCGCTGTCCTGGCCCGCGGGGAGCCGGCCGGGCACGCCGCCGGCGCCGGCAGGCGCCACCGAGGGCCGCCGACGTTGCTGTCGATGTCTGGCGACGGCGTCTCCTCCTCCTCCTCCTCCTCCTCCTCCTCCTCCTAACTGAGCGTGCCTTGTCAGTCATAGAAACGTATGCCGATGTAGCGGTTTTGCATGGAATAAGATGCAGCCGCTTATTGGCCCAAGAGCTTGCCTGACGTTACTGTCAACATAGCCAACTACTTGCCGTGGCCCAGGCTGCTTCCTTGAAGATCAGGAGGCAAGTCTACTCGCATAGCGTCCCCCCCCTTCTCCCCTGTGCCGCCATGTCAGCAGCGCTGGGCCAGAAAGGGGCGGGTGCAAGCGTGTACACCAACCTGCGTGGGGCCCGGATGTTTCCTTTCTGGCCCTCGGGGCCATCCCACGCCGTTCAAGTGGACTTGCCAGGACCAGCGAGAAATTGTCTCGAACGTAACGTATCCAAGCAAAAATGCAAACATGGTTGTCCCGGCTTTGGGTTGGGTCGGGCACGGGCTTGCGGAGCTGACAGAGTCGAGCGCGAAGGGGGGTGGTGGGGAACTTGACCCTCGGCGTGGCCATTTTGGGTCAAGCGCGCGACGCGTGCCCCCCACGGGGGGTGTCCTACCCAGGGAGATGGCTCCGGGGTCGCGCCTCGTGGGGGGTTCCCCCCTCCACCCTCTCGCGGTCGTGCTCTTTCGGAAGATCAGGACGACGGTCTTTCGTCGGCCCTCGCTGGGCCCGGAGCCGTGAGGAGACAGCGGTCCTCGACACGAGACACTGGGGCCGCAGGAAGTGGCCTGCAGAGCTCTGCGGGCCCCGTGTGGCAGAGATCGAGACACCGGAGGTACCGGGTGCTCGTCGGCGTAAACCCAGTCTTCCTCGCGTCGTGGAGGGAGTCACGGCGGGCGGTTCGGTCCAGTCTCGGCTCCCGCGGTGCCCTCGCCGGACTCCGGGCTGCTGGGCGCAGCACGGCTCGGGTTGGACCGTCGGGTCCCAGGGGGCAGCTTGTCTGGACCTCCGTGGGTCCAGGTTGTAAAAAAACAAAACAAAACAAAACAAAAACCAAAAAAACAACAACAACAACAACAACAACAACAACAACAACAACAACAACAACAACAACAACAACAACAAAAGAACTGCATGGCGTCGGAGGCCGGCGTCGTCGGCGTCGGGGGTCCGGGCATCTCTTGGCATTCTCGTCGCCGTGGCTGGGCGCGCGGATCGGAGAGCTGGCCTGGAGAGGGGGCCCAGAAGGGTCGGGGAGTCCGTTTGGAGCGGGTCGCGGTTGGGGCCTCAGTGGAGCCCCGCTCGCGCCGAAAGCATATCGATGTGAGCGCTTCTCCATGTCGCCGTGGAGGTGCAAGAGAAGCCAGAATCTCTCCCAGGGGGGCTCGCGGCAACTTCCCTAGGACGCGGCCGTCCAGCTGTCGAGGCCATTCTCAATGTTCTCCAGGTCTCCGTGGCGTCTGGGAGCAATCGTGGGGCCATCTCGCAAGTTATAGGGCATCTTCGGCCCCCTGGTGGCCACAGAGTGTGGATTTGGAGGATGCGAGAGCCCATGAGGGGCGCTATGCTAGGGAGCTCTGCATCCGCGGGGGGTGGTGGGTGGGAGGGGGTTCCAAACAGGATTTTGGACTCAGGTGGACTGCCAAAGGTCACGCGCGCCGTTTCAGCCCCGGCGGATTACGCCTGTCTACCGCGCCCCCGCCCAGTCACCGTCATCCTCAACCATCCTCCATCATCCTCCGCCTTTGGCCGCCCTTTGGCGCGAGTGTAGGGAACAATGCCTTGCAACGTCTAGCTCCGACTTCTCTTTGGCCAGCACGCCGCTACGTGTATAGTTGTCTCGCACCGTCTCTCACCTGACAGGAACCGTGAGGAGGAATCAGCGCTTCTTCATCCCAAAGTCCACCATGTCGTTCTCTCATGACGGTTTGCTGGGCTCAGTTCTCCATCTTCGGCCTATGGGGGCTGGCTCCCGATCAGCTAGCGGCCCAGGGGGAAGAGCCAGCCCCGCGGAGGGGGTCGAGATTCCGTGGCCAGCGTCATGCATCTGCGACGTCGGAGGGGCGGGTCGCCCTCTCGTCGTGGCCATCTTCGCCCCAGGGTCGAGGCTCGAAGTTCGAGAGGATCGAGGTCTGGTGTGCTCTGCGCCTTTTTCCTGCGCCCCCTGCGGGCCCTCCACAGGCCTCCAGGGGGGCCTGCGAGGGGGTGGAGAAGGAGGGGAGGAGGCTTAAGGGGGGAGGGGGGGTGCTCTCGAAATCTTCCTCTCCTGTCCAATTAGGCCTGCGCACCGCGGGGGCCCGGATTTCCTTCAGATTGCCCAGGTTGCCCAGAGGGGGAGGGCAAGGGGAGGGTTATGGCGGGCGTGTCCCCCTACAGGGAGATTTTCGACGAGAAATACAAAAAACAAAATAGTAAACAAAAAAGAATACTCCAAAAATAGTCCGGGGACTATTTTTTGAGCATTTTTTTGCCAGTTTGGAATATTTGTTGCGCATTTTTTATTTATCGTCGAAAATCCCCCTGTAGGGGGACACGCCCGACTTACGGGGAGGAGGGGAATAAATGTGGGGGCAAGGGGGGATAGGGAGAAGGGGGAGGCGAGGGGGGAGGGTGATGGGGCGGGGGGGCCAAGGGGCAGGGCCACGGGAAGAGGCCTGGGGGAGGATGCCATGGGGGAGCAGGCGAGAGCGCGGGGGAAGCGAGTGAGCTCGCGGAGTCCGGCAGAGAGTCAGGCAGCGGGTGGACGTGGGAGAAAACCTTTGTACTCCACATTTCGTAATAAAAGGGAGGGGGTCTGGACCCTCCAAGACAAGCCATTTCAGACCTCCGGGGGGACCTGCGAGGGGGCGGAGACAGAGGGGAGGGCTAAAGGGGGGGAGGGGGGGGGTGCGCCCTAAATCTTCCTCTCCTGTCCAGGACTGCGCACCGCGGGGGCACGGGTTTCCTCAGATTGCCCAGGTTACCCAGAGGGGAGGGCAAGGGGAGGGTTAGGTCGGGCGTGTCCCCCTACAGGGGGATTTTCGACGAGAAATTCAAAATACCCCAACAATAATCAAACAATACGTCCGGGGACTATTTTTGGAGCATTTTTTGGCCATATTGGAATATTTGTTGCGTATTTTTTATTTTTCGTCGAAACTCCCCCTGTAGGGGGACACGCCCGACTGAAAGGGAGGAGGGGATGTGGGGGCAAGGGGGGAAGGGGGGAGCGAGGGAGGAGGGTGATGGGGCGGGGGGGCCAAGGGGCAAGGCCACGGGAAGAGGCCCGGGGGAGGATGCCGGGGGGAGCAGGAGAGAGCGCGGGGGAAGCGAGTGAGCTCGCGGAGTCCGGCAGAGAGTCAGGCAGCGGGTGGACGTGGGAGAGCCTCGTATAGGGGGCCACATGCGAACCCTACCCCTACCCCCCACGATTTCTGAGTGGGAGCGAAGTGAACCCCACCCCCCCCTCAGAAATCGTGGGAGGTAGGGGTAGGGTTCGCATGTGGCCCCCTAATCATGAACAGTAGGATTCTGAGTCGGTTCAGCTCGGAAGCCGGGCAAGGGCTGCGAGATCCGTGGCTGCTAAAATCGACCTCCGGGAAGTTGTCTTCGTCCTTCCGGGAAGAAGCCCGTTGACTGTTTCGCGTGCCGCGCCTCATTCCGGGAAGTGATTTGTTCCTTCCGGGAGGGCCGTTTTAGCAGCTACGGTTTTAGCAGCCCTCGCCCAGCTTTCGATCAGCCCTGAACCCTCGAGAAATTCTCCCGCGTTGCACTGGCACCCCTGGCACTTGGTGCTTGCTTGTGTGGCTTGGGCCCTCAGTCTCGGCGGGAAGCCTTGCTCTGAAGCGCCAGCTCGCGAGGTGTCTCGTTCCTGCGGACATTCGTCTGGTTGACTCTTCCCCCCCTCTCTTTTGTCCTCGCCTTCCTCACTCCTTCTCCTCGCTCCCTGGGTCGCCCACTTCGCTTCTTGGCTGCCGCTGTGTGGATTTATAGATGGCCGCGTTGGCCATGTGTTTCCCGCACCCTCTCGTTTCCTGATGAGCCCATTCTCCACCACCACTACCATAGGTAGGAGAAGGAGGAGGGGGAGGAGGAGGAGGAGGAGGTCTCCCTTGTCCCACATCTGCTAGTGGTGGTGGAAAATTTGCCCATAGTTTCCCTGTCCGAACCGTCATCTGCTCTGATTATTCCTCCTGTTTGACAGTTATCCTCGTCGGCACGCTTCGAGAGGCAACCGCAGGGGCAGCAGGCTTGCTGCGTGTTGTCGCTCAAGGGGGGGGGAAGCTGGAACCGTCGAGAAAACTAGCGTTCAGTCGGGCATGTCCCTCTACAGGAGGAGTCTTCAAAAATAGTCAAAAAAGTCTGCGGACGATGTTTATATTATTTTTGACCACTTTCGAGCATCTCTGTTGGACTATGATGGATTGTTCGTCCAACATCCGTCTGTAGGAGGACATGCCCGACCTAAAACTAGCGCAGGCAGGCGGAGAGGGATGAGGAGGGGGGAGGGGAGAATCCAGCGGAGGTGGGGGGGGAAAACTGGAACCCTCGAGAAAACTGAGGGCGCGGAGGGGGGGGGGGGGGCAGGAGGAGGAGCAGGAGGAGGAGGAGCACGATGAGGAGCAGGGGGAGGAGCAGGAGGAGGAGCAGGAGGGGGAGGGGAGAATCCAGCGGAGGTGGGGGTGGCGGAGCCGCGCGCCAGGCAGCTTCGCCTCGTGGACCATGCCGCTGCCCCGCGACGCCGCTCCGGGGACCCCGCCAGTGCCGATGGCGCGCTCGCCCCCTCCGCCGCTTCCGATCCCTCTTCGCCTCGCCGTTCTCCCGCCCGTGTTTGCGAGTGCACGGCCTCCCCCGGGGTCGTAGGCGACCCGAGGAGGAGGAGGAGGAGGAGGAGGAGGAGGAGGAGGAGGAGGAGGAGGAGGAGGAGGGGGGGGAGGAGGAGGAGGAGATGGAGGGGGAGGGGAAGGAGGAGATGGAGGAGGAGGAAGAGAAGGAGGAGGAGGAGGAGGAGGAGGAGGAGGAGGAGGAGGAGGAGGAGGGAGGAGGAGGAGGAGGAGGAGGAGGAAGAGTTGGAGGACGGGTAGCCTAAGCCATTCGGAGAAACCCTCCATTTGTGATCCCTAGTGCGTTCTTTAGCCCAGCGTTTGTTTACCCTCTTAGCCTGTGATGGTCCTCATTGCGCTGCTTGAGTCGCATGCCGGACAAGCACACGGCAGCGCTATCACGCGTTTGGGGGATCATCGGCATTGCCCCACCCGTCCAGAACCCCCGTACACCGTACAAGCTAAAGCGAAGACGTTGCGATTCCATTGATTTTCGGTATGCCCCGTCTCGATGGACGGACCGAGTGGGTGGTCACAAGAGAAAGGCCTCTTCTCAAATGATCGCATTGTCGCCAGGCCGCTAGTCTGGCCATATTCTCTTTCAGCGTGAGTTGTTTGTAGGCTAAGGCTTGCTATTCCAGTGGCTGGGATCTCTTGCAGCAGGATTCACCTCGCAAGACATCGTTTGCAAAAGTCACTACTGCTGTTTGCCAGTGAGCCCTGGCAAATACATCTGCTCAGTTCTGTCGTGTTTGGGATGCTGGGGCCGGCGCTTTGGGTGCCGATTTCGGCACGATTTTGGCCTCCGGAGGGGCTATGCGCACTCGTGTTTCCCGCTCCCGCTTCTGCGAACAATGCTTACGACGAAGCTGTGCTCCCGCGTGCAACGAGGCACATCCCGACGGCACTCCTCTGTCGTTGCCACGCGTAGCCAATACCAGCAACCGGCAGGAGCAGATGGCACGAGAAGAGAGAAGGGCCTGCGGAGCCAGGCGTGCAGACTCCGGGTGTTGAGACCAGCGGAAGCGACGCAGGTAGGCGATGCAAGTGCAAGGCACGATCTGCAACAGATTTTTCCATTGTGCCCCCTAAAACCCAGACCCCCTCGAGGCATGAAAAAAACACGACGGGACGTTTTTCATTATTTTTGGCCTCCGGGGGCCCTTACCGGACCTCGGGACCGTCAAAAAACGACTCAGGACGAAAAACCGGTCCCGGGGAATGGGTCCAGACCGCTGGGGGTCGACGTCATGAAAAATTCATGACGTCGGGGGTCTGGGAAGAACGGACTGCGGAGGCCGAGCTCGAGCGAGAGGGGCACATCGCCCGGCGCGTGGACATGGCGGGCCACCCGCGCCGACGGGCCATCGGCGTGGATGACCCGCCATGTTTCCAGGGAGCGCTGACGCATGCGGTCCACAAGAGCATGCATACCAACATTGAAAGCCTTTGGGTTTGCAATGTGTATCTGGCTGATGGTCTTGATCCACCGCCGTGGTTCCATTGTACACGACATGGCGCGTGGCGGTGGTGATGATTTCTTGCTCCCCTTTGTTCTCTCGCTTTTCACTCTCTCTCTCTCTCTCCCCCCCTCTCTCTTCGTTAAAGATGTATGCTTATCTTTGTTGTTCTCTGTCCTTCTCTCGCTCTCTCTCTCTTTCTCCTTCTCTCGCATTTCGTCGACGTCGCGTTTCTTTGAGGTGCTTGGGCAGTGGCCTCGCGCGACGCGCTGCCGCTGAGGGGTGCACAGCGCGCGCCAGCGTCCGAGGCCGAAGCGCCGCGCTGGCCCCCTACGGCACACGACGACAGCCCGACAGGGATCACCAGCACTGCTTCTTCTCAGTTCTTCACCGCCAGGACACCGGCTCGAGACATTGTGCTCCGCCCTCGTCAGGTGCCGCGCAGACCCCCAGGGCACCTGCGTCGGGAACTCGGTCCTCGTGATGTGAGGGTGACTACTGATTGTTGCGTTTGCCGCAGGCCCGGGGATACTTGTCCGCAGGAAGCACCCCTGTGCCATTACAACAGCCAGTCCAGAGAGAGCCCAAGCCACGCCGTCTCCCACGAGACCAGGGGGAGATCAGCACGTATACGACCGACGATGATTTTTCACAGCTAACCATGCATTCTGCACCGTCACTACCAGCATCACCATTCCTCGTCTTCATCGTCATCGTTGTCCTGCTGCTCCTCCTCCTCATCCTCTTCATCCTGCTCCTATTCCTCTTCCTCCTGCTGCTCCTATTCCTCCTCCTCCTGCTCCTCCTCCTGCTCCTCCTCCTGCTCCTCCTCCTTCTCCTCCTCCTCCTCCTGCTCCTCCTCCTCCTCCTCCTCCTCCTCCTGCTCCTCCTCCTCCTCCTCCTCCTCCTCCTCCTCCTCCTCCTCCTCCTCCTCCGCATCATCATCCTCCTCCTCTCCCTCCTCCTTCTGTCCTTCACGCTCTGCTGCCTCTCCTCCTCGTCCTCGCCGCTTCGTCCTCCCCCTTTGCACCATCAACATGATTCTCTCCCCTCTCACCAGTTTACTGCTCATAAGCGTGATGCAGATGCTCACTCTCATCCTCAGCCTCATCCTCGCCGGTCCTCGCCATACTCATTGTCTTTCCCTCCCTCCATCCCCCCGAGGAGCCGGAGAGGGACGAGGGAGAGGGCAGAGAGGCAGGAAGAGGAGGCGGAGGGAGGCGGAGGGGGAGAAGGAGGAGGAGGAGGAGGAGGAGGAGGAGGAGGATAAGGAAGAGGAGGAGGAGGAGGAGGAGGAGGAGGAGGAGGAGGAGGAGCAGCAACAGGAGCAGGAGGAGGAATGCGTAAGGGGAGGGGGAGGGGGATGAGGATGAGGAGGAGAGGAGGAGGAGGAGGCGGAGGAGGAGGAGGAGAAGGAGGACGAGGAGGAGGAGGAGAGGAGGAGGAGGAGAGGAGGAGGAGCACGAGGAGGAGGAGGAGGAGATGAGGAGGAGGAGGAGGAGGAGGAGGAGGAGGAGGAGGAGGGAGGAGGAGGAGGAGGAGGAGGAGGAGGAGGAGGAGGAGGAGGAGCAGCAGGAGGAGGAGGAGGAGGAGGAGGAGGAGGAGGAGGAGGTGGAGTACGTGACGTGGGAGGAGGAGTACGACGACGACAACGAGAAGGAGAAGGAGGGAGGGGGAGGGGACGGACGAGAAGGACCAGGAGTCAGGGAGGAGGAGGCGGAGCAGGACGAGGAGCACGAGGAGAGGAGCGTTGGGGTCCGACGGGGCAGGCCGGGCTCGCAGCGCGGCCGCCCCGCAGAGCTCCGCGCGCCCCCCCCGCAGGCCCTGGGCTCCTCCGCGGCCGGCACGCCTCTCAAGGGCACCACCCGGGGGGGGGCGTCGGCGGCGTCCTCCTCCTTCTCGTCCTCCTCCTCCTCCTCCTCGTCCTCCTCCTCCTCCTCCTCCTCCTCCTCCTCGTCCTCCTCCTCGTCGTCCTCCTCCTTCTCCTCCTCCTCCTCCTCCCCTTCTCCTCCCCCTTCTCCTCCCCGACGCCGCCGACGCCGTGGTAGCGGGAACCACGGCGTCGGCGGCGTCTGCGTCGGCGCCCCGACGGCGGCGGCGGCGGCGACGATTGCGACGGCACCACGTCGGCGACGACAGCGGCGGCAACGGCGGCGGCAACGGCGACGATCCTGCTGAATTCACGATGCTCCTCGTTCCTCGGTGGGGAGGGATCACGATCGGTCTGCCGCTCCCCGCTCCCTCCTCGTCCTCTGGAGGGATCTCCCTCCTCCCTCCCGCCTTGTCGATCTCGATCCTCATTCCTCCTCGATCCTCGGCCCTCCTCGATCCTCGATCTCGATCCTCAATGATGGATGCTCGCGGATCCCGGACCTCCGACTTGATTTTCCCACAGCGTGAGCCCACAGTGGTCTGGACCACTTTCCCAGGACCGGCCAGTCACCCCGAGCCGCTCATTGACAGCCCCACCGCCTGTCCGAGGGCCCCTCGAGGCAGAAGATGGCGAAAAGCCTTCCGTCGTGATGTTTCGAAGCGCGAGGTGGTCTGGGCTTCCTGTCCACCGAGTTCCTCCCTGAGTTCACCCTGCCTTTCGACCATGCGGCCCGCCATGGCGGCAGGAACCGCCAGTACTACGACGAATCCCCGCAAATCAAAATCCAATCCGACGAGATTTGATGTTCTCAATCCCAGACCCCCTCGGGTCATGAAATGATATCGGGCGATGCTGCAATCTCTTCGCGACGTCGGAGCTTAGGGGTCGTTGTCGTCGCCACCGAAAACGAGTCGGGCGATCTGATGTGCACACATCCGCAGCCCATGGCCGGTTCCATCCCAGGCTCGGGATCGGTGTGTACGCCCTCTTTGCGCTTGGCCGGGGCAGCATATACACCAATCCTGGGGCTAGGGTCGTTCTCCTGGCGATGGTCCCAGGACCAGGCAGGGGCCCGGAACGGCCTAGAACACGATCGAGAACCTTCCACCGTGATCTTGCCATGACCCGAGGGAGCCTGGGGAGCAGGAGGAGTTGGTGGAGGAGGAGGAGGAGGAGGAGGAGGTTGAGGAGGAGAGGGAGGAGAAGGAGGAGGGAAGGAGGAGCAGGAGGAGGAGGAGGAGGAGGAGGATGATAATGATGATGATACTGATGATGCTGATGCTGATGCTGATGCTGATGCTGATGCTGATGATGATGATGATGATGATGATGATGATGATGATGATGATGATAATGAGGAGGAGGAGGATGAGGAGGATGAGGAGGATGTTGAGGATGTTGAGGAGGTTGAGGACGAGGACGAGGAGGAGGAAAAGAAGGAGGAGGAGGAGGTGGAGGAGGAGGAATTGGGGGAGGAGGAGCAGGACGAGGAAGAGGAGGAGGAACGGGGGGAGTTGGAGGAGAAGGAGAGGCACGAGGAGGAGGAGGAGGAGAAGGAGGAGGAGGGGGAGGAGGAGGAGGAGGAGGAGGAAGAGGATGAGGAAGAAGAGTATGAGGATGAGTTTGAGGCTGATGATTATGATGATGATGATGATGATGATGACGATGCTCATGATAATGATGCTGATGATTGTGATGATGATGATGCTGATGATAATGATGATGGTGATGATGCTGATGATGATGCTGATGTTGATGCTGCTGCTGATGATGATGCTGATGTTGATGCTGCTGATGATGCTGATGCTGCTGATGATGATACTGATGATGGTGATGATGATGATGACGATGATGATGATGCTGATGTTGCTGATGATGCTGATGATGATGCTGATGGTGATGATGACGATGATGATGACGATAGGGATGTTGTTGATGCTGATTATGATGATGATATTGATGCTGCTGATGATAATGATGATGGTGATGCTGATGCTGATGATGCTTATGATGATCATGCTTACGATTATGATGATGATGATGATGATGATGATGCTGATGATGATGATGATGATGATGATGATGATGATGATGATGATGATGATGGTGCTGATGATGGTGCTGATGATGATGTAGAGATGTTGATGATGACGATGCTGATGATGATGATGATGATGAGGAGGAGGAGAGGAGGAGGAGGAGAGAGGACGAGGACGAGGAGGACGAGGAGGAGGAGGAGGACGAGGAGGAGGAGGAGGAGGAGGAGGAGGAGGAGGAGGAGGAGGAGAGAAGGAGGAGGAGGAAGAGGAAGAGGACGAGGAGGAGGAGGAGGAGGTGAAGGAGAAAGAGGAGGAGCAGCAGCAGGTAGAAATGGAGGAGCACGAGCAGTTGGAGCACGAGCAGGAGGAGGAGGAGGAGGAGGAGGAGGAGGAGGAGGAGGAGGAGTTGGAGGAGGTGAAGTTGGAGGAGAAGAAGATGGAGGACGAGGAGGAGGAGGAGGCGGAGGAGGAGGAGGAGGAGGAGGAGCAGGAGAGGAGGAGGAGGGGCAGGAGGAGCAGGAGGAGGAGGAGGAGGAGGAGGAAGAGGATGAGGAAGAGTAGGTTTAGAAAGTTCAGGAGTTTGAGGAAGTTGAGGGAGGAGGAGGAGGAGGAGGATGAGGAGGAGGAGGAGGAGGAGGAGGAGGAAAGGGAGGAGGAGGAGGAGGAGGAGGAGCAAGAGGAGGAGGAGGAAGAGGAGGAGGAGGAGGAGGAGGAGAAGGAGGAGGAGGAGGAGGAGGAGGCGACGGAGGAGGAGGAGGAGCAGGAGGAGGAGGAGGAGGAGGAGGAGGGAGGGGCATGGCCAGGGGCCGTGGGTGTGCACAGATCCCGCCTCCCGGGAGCGGAGCGCGCGGGCGCTGGGAGGGGGCCACCGCACGCCGACGCTCTCGCCGGGGCCGCGGCCCCTGGCCTACGTGCGCCGCGCGCCTCCCCCGCCCCGGCCACCTGAGGCGGGTGGGGGAGGGAGGGAGGGAGGGAGAGGAGGGATAGGAGGGAGAGGAGGAGTGCAGGGGAGGGGGGAGGGAGGGGGGAGGGAGGGAGGGAGCGAGGGCGAGGGAGGGGTGGAGGGAGGGAGGAGGGAGGTGGTGCGCAAGCTCTACGCGTGCAGGCGTGTGCAAGACGTGGCGCGGGAGGGCGGTGCGAGAGCGTGGTGCGAGAGTGGGGTGCGTGTGTGGCGAGTGGCGCGCGGGCATGTCAGAAGTATCTGGGGCCCCCGGGTCTCCCCGGCCTGCCGGAGCTCTGAGGGAAGCGTGACGAGCACAACACAACAAGCAGTAAGAGGAGGGCGAGGGGGAATGAGGAGCAGTGCGGGGAGGGGCAGGGGGAGGAGGGATGTCGGAAGGGAGGGCGGAGGATGGAGGGCATTGGACGGAACGGGAGAGGACGGAAGGGAATGTGAGAGGACGGTGAGCCGGAGAGGGTTGGGTGCCAAGCGCCGCCCCGCTGCCCAGCTGCGATCCCCCCCTTGCCGTCGTGAGAAGCTCTGTATAGCGAAGGCGTTGCTTGCCTCGGTTGCGTCGACATGTCAGAGGAGCCGTGCACTTTCTTCCAGCTAGGGCAAGAGACGAACGGGTGAAGCAGGCGGGGAGTTCGAAGAGAGGGGGATGAGGCGGGGTGCGGTGGGGAGAGAGAGAGAGAGAAGGGAGCCCACCCACGACCTGCTGGAAACAGTCAGTGAAGAGGCGGCGGCGGAGGAGGGCGAGGAGGGAGAGGATAAAAAGGAGGAGGCAGGGAGGGCGAGGAGGGAGAGGAGAAAAAGGAGGAGGCGGCGGAGGTGGAGGATAACCTCCTCAGGCGGTCAGCAAGACCCCCCTCGTAGTAGGGGGGACGAGGCGGCAGCTCTTGCTGCGCGTGTGAGTGCGTCAACCTGTGGGCGAGGCTAGCGCGAATACAACCGATTCATGCAGTCAGGAAGTCGGCCTTGGTTTCTGACACCGCATGCACCTTTGACATTGATCGACCTCCGCTTCAGGACGTCGCCACTGATAGCCTGGCCTCTGGCCCATCCCGCCACCGTGCCTGGGTTGTAGGTCAGAGGCCTCTTGGATGCACGTGGTGATCTCTTGAGAGGCCACTCCGAAGACTCTTAGAAGCGGCGCGTGGGGCATCTTGGGGCCCCCCAGGGGCTTAATTTTGGGCCTGATGTGGGCACCTTGGGGGCCTCCTGGGCTGACGGTCTGAGCCCTGTCTCCTCCTGCGTTCCCGGGTCCATGGAGGCCTCGACCTGTGACCTTGGGCCCGCGGTGATGCTGCCTGCCGCCTCTGTCGCTTCAGCCCCTGAGCAGCCCCTGGTTTTCCCCAGGGTGCGGCTTCGAACGGAGGGGGAGCAGCGCGATCTCGACCTGACGGACGCGTGCTTGCCCCCTCGAGTCTCCGAGGCTGGCTGGTCCTGGGACCTCACCGCCTCGCTCCCCTCGTTCGTCGCCCCTTGCTTCCCTGTCGGCCTCATGCGTCGGCGAGGTCAGGCAAAGAGACGAGGATGGAGTTCGCTTCAAAATACTATGTGGTATTTCTTGCTATTTCTCTATGTCTCTCTCTCTCTCTCTCCCTAGCTCTCTCTCTCTCTCTCTCTGTCTAACGCTTTCTCTCTCTCTCTTTCTCTCTCTCTCTCTCTTCCTGCGTGTCCCTCTGTCCAAGGCGGGCCCCTGGACCTGGACCCGGGCGCGGCTTGGGCAGACTCCCGAGGCGGACCCTGCCGCTCGTGACGCGGGCGCCCCATAGGCGCCCCGACCTTGGATCCCCTGGAGCCTCGCTCTCTCTCTGAGTCGGGCTGCTGCGTGCCCCGCCCCAGGGCGCAGGTGAGGGAGGGGGGGGAGGAGGAGGAGGAGGAGGAGGAGGAGGAGGAGGAGGAGGAGGAGGAGGAGGAGGAGGAGGAGGAGGAGGAGGAGGAGGAGGAGGAGGAGGAGAGGAGGAGGAGGAGGAGTTGGAGGACGAGGAGTTGGAGGAGGAGGAGGAGGAGGAGGAGGAGGCGGAGGAGGAGGGAGGAGGAGGAGGAGGGAGGAGGGAGGGCGGAGGAGGAGGAGGAGGAGGAGGAGGAGGAGGAGGAGGAGGAGGAGGAGGAGGAGAGGAGGAGGAGCAGGAGCAGGAGGAGGAGGAGGAGGAGGAGGAGGAGCTCCGTAGCCATTTTGGCTCAAGCCGTTGCCTGGGGCCTTCGCCTTCCCTGGGGTTGGGGCTCAAGGTGGTCGAGTGACCCGCACGACCCTCGATCAGCAGCCCTGCCCAGGGTGAGGGCCCAACACTCACGATTACGGGACTCAGGCGTGTTTCCATTCAGCCAGACACAAGATCAGCCAGCCCTCGTCAGTTCGTGCAATGGCGTGGGGTCAGTCTTGGCAGTATGGCGGAGGCAAAGGTCGCGCAGCAGAAGAAGCTGGGGATCGTGAGCGTGAATCAGACAAACCACGAGGCAAAGGCGTCCACACGTGGCGCTGCCAGCACTGTGGGTGCAAGAAGACACCCTGGGCGCAGTGGTATTGCAAGCATTGCAGCAAGCCGTGGAATGGAGGAGTGGCAGATGAGGGAGCCCTTCTCGACGTGGCGGACAACGACGGCCCGCCAGGGCTGGCACCGCGGGCCAAGGGCTTGCAGCCCCCGCCCGGTATCAAGAGCAAGGAGTTGGAGTTGTCCAGCGAGGAGATCGACAATCTGGTCGCGCTGGGCAACAAGATTGGAGACCGTGCCATGGAGATCAAGTGCACGACCCTCCGTGAGTACAAGAAGCGGCTCAACATGCAGCCCAAGGCGGTGCCGTTGCAGCTGCAGGCGCAGCAGGCACACCAGAGGGTTCTGCAGTTGGAGGCCAAGCTCAAGCAGGAGGTCAGCAAGTTCGAGCTCATGCAGGTGGCGCTCGAGGAGCAGACCCAGCTTGTGCAGGCCCTCAGCACCGAGCTGGACGATGCGGATAGCAAGTACAAGGAGCTGCTGGGCAACTTGCACACAGACGTGGTCGGTGCGCCGAGCGAGCAGCCACCTAGAGTGCCGCTGTCCAAGCTACTCGAAGGAGACCTCACGTGCTTCGACCTCGGGGAGTGCCAGACGCTCTTCGGGCTGGTCGATTCAAAGCTGTACGAGGTTACGGAAGATGACCAGAAGCAGGCAGCAGAAAGGCGTGAGAAGATGCAGAAGGGGATTGCCGAGTTGGCGCAGACCCTATTCGGCTCGGCGAAGCAGTTCGCGGAGAACCTCAACAAGGAGCACGCAGAGCACGTCAAGCGGCTGTCCACCAAGAAGCGCAAGACGGCCGAGGAGCCCGACGGGGCGCAGCCAGGCGGCCAAGGAGCGGGAGCCCAGGCTGCAGGCGGCGCCGAGGGCGGTGAGGCGGCAGCCACCGCCAGGCGCCGAGGCTGGCGCTGGTCTTGCTGCTGCTGGTGGCGCTTCTGACGGCCACAAAGACGGAATGGTCGATTGCGACCGCTCAGGAGCCTTTTTGCCCGAGCCGAGCGACGTGCGCCGGGCTGCACGAGCAGCGCTGGGACAGAGCGGCAAGGGGGCAGCAGCAGGAGGCAAGGGCTTTGCAGGCAGCGCTGGAGGCGCTGCCGCAAGCCAGACGGCTGCAGGGGAGGGACGGTTGGGCGGGTAGCTGGGTGGGGGCTGCGGGCGGGAGGGGCGCGTCTCTGACAGGTAGCGTTGAGGCCTCGGCCGCGCGGCAGGTGCGGGAAGGTTCTCGTTTTGGCACGCCGCCTGGGCTCTTCTTTCTCCCTCCGCCGCTGCCCATGCCGCCACCGCCTCTCGGTCGCCCCCCCTTCTATTTCCCCCGGCAGGAACCAGCTTGTCCTGCGTGGGAGCCATCATTGCCTCAGCGTTTCTATTTAAGCAAGTCGCAGTCTCGGAAGCTTGAGCGCCAGCAGGCCAGTTCGGTTTCCAGGGTTCACCCGGGAAAGAGTTTTTTCTCGGTAGAATCATGCAACACGACCTGTTGGAAGTCGGCGAAGCAGTATCTCGAGGGTGAGTGTCAGTCTAGCGTAGCAGTACTGCAAGAGATCACTGTGGAACCGAGCGAGCTGCAGGAGCGTGAACAGACACTGCGAGGTCTGGGGTGGCATGCCAGTCTGTCACCGTCCATAGTTACAGAAGCAGGAGGGCTCTCGTCTGGGGTGGCGGTGGCCTGCAGGAAGCACATAGGTCTGGGGATGCCTCCGACAGCAGTTCGAGACCTTCCTGCACCGCATCGGCAATCGCTACGATGGATCAATACGTTCGTTCCAGGCGGATTTATACTAGGTTCTGTTTATCTTCCCGACGCAGACCCGCTAGGACCCGAAGGGAGTCGAATTCTCAGTCGGCTGGGAGAACGCCTTCGTAGTTGGGGGCTGCCGTTCATCCTAGGGGGGGACTGGAATGTTTCACCAGAGGTGTTCAAGGAGATGGGGTGGGCTGGAAAACTCGGGGGCCAGGTCATCCATCCCACCACCTACGCGTGTAAGTCGACAGCCAAGGTTTGGAGGACAATCGACTATTTTGTGATGTCGGCAGGTCTTGCGGCGAATGTTCACTCGTGCCACCTCAATAGGAAGGCGTCCACCAAGCCGCATTGGCCCGTCATTGTGCAGTTTAAGGGCAAGCCGATGGAGCATCTCGTTCGGGTGCTCAAGAAGCCTGCCGCGTCCCCCAATGAGGTAGTCATTGGCCCGATGAAGGAGCCCCGCGACTACCACCAGCTGCTGGCACAGGCGAGGCAGCGTGGTGGCCGAGAGGCTCTGGGCAGCTGTTTTACTGATTTTATGGGGTTTCTTGAGGCGGAGCTGGGAGAGTACCGCGGGGTCTCGGATCAGAAGAAGTACTTTGGAAGGTCCAGGGAGCCCGAGTTCAGGATGGTACCCGCCTTGAAGACCTCAGGAGGCAAGTATCCAGTAGGCTGTCCACGAAGCAGAGGATGGAGGAGAGTTGAGATTTGGTTCCAGGAGCTCGCGTACCTCAGGACTAGCGCTTCGGAGTGGGGGAAGGCTAGCACCATGGGGATCCTGGGGCGAATGCGACGGGGCCCACACCAGCTTCGTGAGCTGCAGGATTGGGAAGGCTGGAGGCCGTCTCGAGAGCAGTTGATGTACGCAGATGTTGAGCAGCTCCGACGCTGGCAAGGTTTCACTTTCGCTGGAGAGATCGTTCGCCTCTGAACGGTCCAAGCAGTGGCGCGAGTGGGTCAAGCAAGCAGTGGCCAACGGAGGGGGCCAAGCCCACAAGTACAGCCAGGTCCCTGTAGGATGGATCCCTGAGGTCCCAGCTGGAGCTAAGAAGTCGGATGCCCCGAGAGTGCCCATGGGCCCGCAGGAGCAGGTGGACGACTTGTACGGTTACTGGCTTGGACATTGGGCCCCTCCAGAGGCTGCTAGGAGTCTTCCTGACCCCATCGAGTACCCCACGAGCGAGATAGATAAGCAGGCGCAGGAGCAGGGCTGCAGGCTGGAAGATCTAGTGGGCCCCCCAAAGACCCCCAGTGAGATCAGAGCTGCAGCGAGGAGGTTCAGGCGTTTCACGGCGTGCGGGATCGACATGCTCAGGCCCAGGGACCTTGACAAGGCCACTGATGGGATCCTCGAGGTGCTTGGTGAGCTCTGGGTCTGGATGGAGTGTCTTGGGACGTACTCCACCCTGATGCTGACCACGGTCCTCGCGATGCTAGGTAAGCCCGAAGGAGGTATTCGGCCGATAGGCTTGCTCCCAACCCCCGTCGGAGTCTTCTCGAAGTTAGATCGACCTGAGACCCGTGCGTGGGAGGCGTCGGTCAAGAGGCCTTACAGGTACGGGATTTCGGGTAGAAGTTGCGAGAGAGCGGTGTGGGAGCAAAGCCTAGTGGTCGAGCAGCACATCAGTGCAGGAGGCTGCTCGGCATGTGGGCTCGTGGACTTGACAAAGGCATGCGAGAAGGTGAACCGCTACCTTCTCGCTCGGGCAGCAGTCAAGCATAGATATAATATGATTCGTCTTCGTTTGAAGCTGTCTTTGTATCGCGGCAAGCGGATCATCAGCATTCTAGGAGTGTGCGCGTTAGTGGCAGAAGTTGACCAGGGTATTCTTGCAGGTTGCGGCGAAGCGACCAGTTTGCTCAGCTGCCTTTTGCTGGACCCCTTGGATTCGACTTGCGAGCACTTTGGCAGCATAGGCATATACAACGTCGTCGATGATATCACATTGCAGTCGTCAGGTCACGCGTCGCAAGTGGAAGCCAGGTTGCCGAGGGCGATCTTTTACTTGTGCACGCTGCTCGAGCGGCTACTGCGAGTGACTTCACAGTCCAAGGGCCTCGTGCTGAGCACCCACGCGAGCACGCGGCAGGTCATAGTCAGAAAGCTTCGGAAGTGGAACTTCGAGGGGGCGCTTTCGGGAAGGAATCTGGGATGTGACCAAACGATGGCTGCCAAAGGGACCCGTGGGTCCAAGGTGTTACAAGCCAGGCTGAGGCGCCTCAAGGGGCGCAGTGGAAGGTTCCGCGGGCTCAGGAGCTCTAGGAAGGGAATGATGCGGGTGGCCCGTTCTGGGGGTCTTGCTGCTACCACTTACGGAGCGAGAGTGAACGGGGTGGCCACCACGAAGCTTCAGCAGATGAGGAGTGCGGTTGGTGCGGCTGTGTTTGGGACTCCCAAGGGCAGGAGCAGGACTCTGGAGTTTCTTCTCAGCGAGGAGCCCAAGGGGGACCCAGCGTTCGACGCCAACCTTTCGCCGCTCCTCATGTGGGGCCAGGCGGTCAGGAACAAGTGTGTGGAGCCCAAGGCGATGCAGCAGAGTTTCCAGTTTTTCAGGAACAAGCAGGATTTCAACTGGAGCCAGGTGCGAGGTCCAGCAGGTGCGGTCGTCTTGACCCTTAGGCGGATAGGCTTGGAACCGAGGGCCTGGAACCTGTTCGTCACCAACTCGGGGTTAGAGATCGACTTGGAGTATCTTGGAGGACGTTCTCTGAAGATGGTTCTGGAGAGGTTTGTTCGGGAACACCTGGTCAGAAGCCTTGGGGATGGTCGCGTGGAAGGTCTCGACGAAGGGCCGATGCTGGAACCAGTCATCGAAGTGCTCAGGGACCTCAGGGCCAAGGGCAGGTTGCAGGCGGCGGCGGGTCTCGCGGGTGTGGTCGCAGGCGGGTATCAGACTCAGGATAAGCTGTACCAGGACAGGCGAGTTTTGGACAACAAGTGTATGCTGTGCCAAGGAGAAGTAGGTTCTGCATTACACAGGTTTCGATGCCCAGCCCATCAGCCACGAATTCGAGATCTCGGCGTCCAAGAGTTGTTGGACACGCCCGTGCTGCCAGGAACGGAGGCGCTCCACACGAGGGCGCTCTTCCCAAGTGTCGAGTGGGCTTGGCCCACACCGTGCCAGCAGGCAGGATTTCGGTGGGACGTGGTGCCGCCGAACGGGGTGCTCGACAAAAGAGTGTGTCTAGAAGGATCAGGGCATGACCAAGATCAGCCTTCCCTGGCCCGCGCGGGGTGGGCAGTGGTCACAGTCCCGGCGAGCGGGCACATCATTGGCTCAGCGTACGGGCCCCTGCCGCACGTCGTGCAGCTCGCGGGGACAGGGGAGGTGTACGCCTTCCTCATGGCGTTGCGGTTGGCGGGCCCGCTAGGGCTCGACGTGATCACGGATTGCAAGATGGTGGAGGATATTTGGGGGTTCGGGCCAGAGCAGAACCTAGAGGACGTGGCATATTCAGAGCTTTGGAGGGAAATATTCCAGCTGGCAGGGGATCTCGGACGTGATCTGATTTCGGTACGTAGGGTTAGGTCTCACCTCTCCCTCGGTCAGGCCCGTAGGCAGGGGGTGTGTGAGTGGGAGTGGAAAGGCAACAAGCGGGCGGACGAGCTCGCCAAGCTTGGGGCCCAGGCTCATCCCACCAACCCCCTAGTCAAGGCTCAGCTTAAACATAGCTTTAGTTTAGTCAAACAGTCGGCCTGGTTGATTGCCGAGGTCATGTACGACCTCTCGTTTAAGGATTTCCCAGACGTGGCGCGTGTGAGCAGGCCGCGTCGGCCCAAGCCACAGGTGCTTCAGTTGATTCCAGAGCCCAATGGGCATTTAAGTGAGAAGTCTGGCAAGCAGTACAGATGTGCGACGTGCGGAGAGAGGGGCCGCTCGAGAGCACACATTGCTTTGACGCCTTGCGGCGGTCCGCCGAGGGTTGCGAGGACGGCGCACCAGAGCCACAGGCTCTGGCTTGGTGGGGGTCGGGTGGCCTGGTGCACGCGTTGCGGCGCTTTCGGGTCCGCTCGGTCTCGGCTCCTTGGGACTCGGTGTGAAGGAGGTCCTCGCAACCGCGACGCTGCTAATGGTCTCAGAATGCTCTGGAATGGAGTGGACCCCAGCTCGAAGTCGAGCTTCGGGAGGTCTGTTCCGCTCAGATGGCAGGTTCATACGGGTTGGTCGTCCGCCCCCGTCTGAACCCCATCTTTCAACACTTGCCCTCGGCACTGTTTTTAGGGCTGCCTTATCGCTCAGCGGTAACGGACAGCTAATGAACCAATAGGAGCCAATAGGAGGAGGAGGAGGAGGAGGAGGAGGAGGAGGAGGAGGAGAAGGAGGAGAAGGAGGAGAAGGAGGGGGAG